TTCGACTTCAGAGGTAAACTGTATGTTGATATGTTTTGAGTTGACATAATCTAAAAACATTTTTACATGCGAAACATCACTAAACAGTAGGAATACATCATCAACATATCTTTTATACATTACTGGTTTAAAATGCGATGGGCAGTCTGCTAACCACTTACTCTCGTGATGGCATAAAAACGCGTTTGCGAGAGTTGGGCTTAGCGGGCTACCCATTGCTACACCATCAATTTGGGAGTACAATTGATTGTTGAACATGAACATTGCATCTTCTACAGATAATTTTAACAATTTCTTGAATTGGTCTCTTGTAAGGTTATGCACATTATCAGTATTCTCAAATAATCTGTTTGTACAAATATCCATTGTTTCTTTCAAAGATGTTTGTAAATAAAGGCTGTATGTCAAAACTAGCCATTATAACATGGTTTTCAAGACTAATTGTAGACATCTGCTTTGCAAAATCAAAAGAATTATGGACAGTGTATGCATTGGTAGTTATAGGCTTGAGAATTTGCCCTAAGAATTTAGCTAGATTATAATTAAATGTTTTTAAAGCTGACAAGATAGGTCTGATCGGCACATCGGGTTTATGAATTTTTGGTAGTCCATATAACATTCTAGGTAAAGAGCCAGATGCTCTGAGTTGATTATATGTATCAGAGGAAATGGTGTCACTATCTTTCAAACATTTTAGCATTCTATTCAGTTTGTCCTCTAATTGAATGATTTTAGAAAAGGGCTCATTTCCTAACTTTTTAAATTTTGTAAGGTCTGATAGCAATATATTTACTTTAGTGACATATTCATTTCTCTCCAATATCACAACACCTTTTCCTTTGTCAGGTCTGGTTATTATGATGTTGGGGTCTTCCTTTAAAGATTTCAAAGCATTGTATTTGGCTTTGCTAAAAGATGGTAACCAGTGTCTATGTCTTTTGAAGTCATAGAACGTCTCATTTGCTAAACTGGCAATTTTCTCAAAAACTTTCATTCGCTAAAATAAACATCATAATAACCAGACTTGAGAATACTGATAATGTGCATAACCTTACAAGAGACCAATTCAAGAAATTGTTAAAATTATCTGTAGAAGATGCAATTTTCATGTTCAACAATCAATTGTACTCCCAAATTGATGGTGTAGCAATGGGTAGCCCGCTAGGCCCATCTCTCGCAAACGCGTTTTTATGCCATCACGAGAGTAAGTGGTTAGCAGACTGCCCATCGCATTTTAAACCAGTAATGTATAAAAGATATGTTGATGATGTATTCCTACTGTTTAATGATGTTTCACATGTAAAAATGTTTTTAGATTATGTCAACTCAAAAATTGTCAACATACTGTTTACCTCTGAAGTCGAAGAAACAACTCATTGATGATAAAACCTTTAAAACCTCCGTGTACAGAAAACCTACCTTCACTGGTAGTGGTTTAAATTATTTATCCTTTCTACCCATGATGTTTAAAATTAATGCTATCAGAACTTTGTTGTACAGATGTTTTCATATTTGTTCAGACTGGCATTCCATTAACAGAGAACTACAATTCTTGGAAACCTTTTTGAAAAACAATTTCCAATGTCTGTTATACAAATAAGGTTATTCTTAAATAAGATGCTCTGTCCAAAACCAATGAATTACAATGTACCTCGGGATATCCGATACCTTAAACTACCATACTATGGACACACAAGTTTTTGTCTTACGAAAACAACTACAGAAACTACTAAGCAACCATTTCCCACAAATCAATTTCAGAATGATCTGCACAAATTCCAGAACAATTCGTTCGTTCTTTCCGACAAAAGACCCTTTTCCTAAACATCTGTGCTCAAACATAGTGTACTCATACAAATGTTCTAGCTGTAACGCTAGATATATAGGTTCAACATCAAGGAATCTAAAGATGAGATATTGCGAGCACAAAGGAGTCTCTTATCGGACATTACGTCCGCTATCATCTCCCATGCACTCACTTATCCGGGATCATTCACTCAAAACAAATCATGAAGTAAAATTCGAGGACTTTTCAATTGTGAGAAAAACACAAGACATAATAGATTTAAGAATCTTAGAATCACTACTGAAAGAAATAAAACCTGACTTAAATAACAATGAAAGTTCAGTTACTCTATATACGCTGAAGTAATTTACACAGGTTATCCCATACCCACTCCAGCCCCCCCCCCCCCCTCCCCAACTCACAACGGACATCCAGACATTCAAACCTCCGCAAACTGCTGTCATGTCAACATGACAAAGACACATACTCCACACACACCTACGGAGAAAATACGTAAGCCCAATATTCCTTTTTTATGTCCTATGTTGGTAATCAACTTGTGTTTAATATGTTTTGCGTTTGCTATTATTTCCATTTTGTTTCTTCTTTTTGCCTTTATAATTATATATTCAATATTAGTTTAGATAATTTGTATTCTCTTACATGCAGATTCTGATGATGGACGCAGTTATTGATGCCCGAAAGCCAAATAAA